ACAAAACATATTCTGAGTAACAACACAATAAAATGAGAAATTTGTAACAAAATCAGAAAATAAAGAGATCTTCAATCTGAAAATTTAAAAAGTCTCTCAAAAAACATTTAGGTAATTGGGCAAATACAAATAAAATCTGTGGTGTTTGGAATATAGCTAAAACAGTGATCAGAAGAAAATTTATTATTTTACATACTTTTATCAATAAGAAAAAAATGAAAGTAAATGAGTTACTAATATAGCTCTAAAAGTTACAAAAACAACTAAATTAACTGAAGTAAGGTAGAGGGAAAAAATGTAAAGTTAAAAGTAGAAATTAAGAATGTTAAAAAAAAAAGCCAAAAAACTGAAAAAAAAATTTCCAAAGTTCTTGCTGGTGGGGGGAAAAAAAATCAACTGATTAAAACTACTCCTTCTCCTAATCAAGAGTAAAATTAAGGAGAAAGTACAAATATACAAAATAAGAAATGGGGGTAAACAACAGAAATAGACAAAATTTCAAAAAATAGGAAATTAATTTATAAAATTCTATACAAATAAATATAATTTTCTAGTAAGATATAACTTACCAAAACAAAACCAAAAGCCTACACAGACTGATTTTCATAAAATAAATGGAAGAAATTTTAAAAGAGCTACCTACCAAACAAAGCAAAACATATAGGCCACAAGAGTATACAGGGGATTTCTACCAAATCTTTAAAGAGCTGTTAACTTCAATACTATTTAAAAACTGTTGTACATTTTAAAAAATGAAAAAGGTCCAAATTCTTTATAAAATATAATAGCAAAACTTGAAAAAGACTACACAGAAAAAGAGAAGATCCATCTTTACAATTTTGCATTTTAATTAAAAAGATAAAGTATTAATAAACAGAATTCAGCATCACATTAAAATAATCCAGAAACATTAGTTTGGTTCAGTGCTTCTTTAAAATAAGAGAAACATCATATCATCAGCTCCATTAATGCTAAAATGACATCTGAGAAAATTCAATATCCATTCCTGATTAAAAGTACTTAATAGGAAGCAACAGATCCTCCTATACACACATCCATGTATGAATTATACTTAATGCAGAAACTTTGGAAGTATTCTTTTTAAAGTCAGGAATAAAAAGAGGATGCCCACTAATCACTAATGTTTAAATTGTCCTGTCTGAATATTTAGTCAGTGTAACCTGAAGGAGAAGTATAAAAATCCAAAAGAAGAGGTAAACCTATCACTATCAGCAGATAAAATGATTATAACCTAGAAACTAGGAAAGTCACTTAAAAAACTACTATAAACAATAATGGAATTCAGTAAGGCAGAGAGAAATGTCAGTATACAGAACTTAAAAGCCTTCATGTATATAAACAATAACCAGTTAGAATCTATAAACTCATTTAGTAGAAAAAATAAGGGGGGAAATGTCCAGAAATAACAAGAAATGTACAAATTTTATGTGAGAAAAATGTTAATACATTCCTGAAGAAAACAAAAGTAATCTTGAACAAATGCAATAACATACTATTTCATTTGACAGAAAGATTCAATATTTTAAAAAAAACCAATTTGTCCTAACTTAATTTATAAATATGAGATCTCAGTAAAAATAATACCCCAACCTCCACATCTATTGGATCTAGACAAGGTGTTTCTAAAGCTTATATGGTAATAAATAAAAATGGCCTAGAAAAACCTGAAAAAAAATGAGACTAGTGCTATTAGATATTAAAAGTCATAAAAGAAATTATTGCTCACTACTTTTAAGTGTTTGTGTGTAAAGACACACATGCGCGCGCGGATAAATTTCTATGTGGCAAAAAGCAAAAAAACCCCAAGACTGTAGCAAAGGCCAAAAGACAAGTAACAACGAAGGGATATCATCTGTAATTCACATCTCAATTGAGAAAGCTCAGTAAATGAGGAGACCAAACATCTGACAGAAAAAAAAAGGGCGAAGGATACAAACCGTTAACAGAAAAAGAAAGGTGGCCCTTACATATGTGAAAATGTTCAAATGGAAAACAAAAGCACATAGTGAAACTATTTCTTGTAAATCCGATTGACAAAAATCTAGTTTGACACCTGTAGAGGCAAAGGCGTAAGGAAATAGGTAGTCTCAATCACTGATGCAAAGTAAGTATTTACAATCTTGGTAGAGGGCAATCTGGCGATAACAATGAAAATTACAAATACATTTGCCCTTGACTCATCAATCTCACTCCTGGAATCTATCTTAAAAAAACAACATATGTATGTATGTGTGTGTGTGTGTGTGTGTATGAAATGATGTTCTGAAATGGCATATAATTAAAGGGGACTCTTGAAATATATCCCCTCAATGACATATCTCTATGATGGCAGATGCAGCTGAAAATAATGAGGAAACTATGTACTGATCTAGAAAGAACCAGGGATCCTTGGAGGAATGGCTGATTCTAGGCATAGGTTAAGAAATATAAGATTAGCCTGGAACATTCTGCTGTGCCAGAAAACTATCAAAGACTAATGAATTAGCAATAGGACATCATGATTTTCCACATAAGAATTCCATCTAGCCCTAGCCGGTTTGGCTCAGTGGATAGAGGGTCAGCCTGCGGACGCAAAGGTCCCAGGTTCGATTCCGGTTGAGGGCATGTACCTTGGTTGCGGGCACATCCCCAGTGGGGAGTGTGCAGGAGGCAGCTGATCAATGTTTCTCTCATCGATGTTTCTGGCTCTCTATCCCTCTCCCTTCCTCTCTGTAAAAAAACCCAATAATATATATATATATAAAAAAGAATTCCATCTAATACAAAAGGAATAACAGAATTAGAAAAAATATCGGTTGATAGTGCCTAGTGAAATAAATAGTTCAGGTAACAATGATCAATGAATGGAATATTAGAAATTGCAAGGCTGATTGGGAAATTTTAATGGAGAGATCAGGCCTATTGTATTATTAAAAAAATGGGACCACTAAACACTGATACAATATGAAGCACTTATAAATTTATAAAGTATTTTGAACCAGAATTGAATCAAGCCTCAAGGGCCAACTTTCATTTTAAGGAAATATAGGGAACAGAGGAACAAAATAATCACACCTCAAGTAAACAAAAGACAAATCCAGGTTTCTGGATATTCTACAGGACACCTGACAACAAGACAATAGCAAACAAAAAAACAAAAAACAAAACAAAACAAACAAAAAATGGAGGGAAAAACAACTAAAAACCAAACAAACAAAAGACAAAATAAAACAAGAGGGAAGGAAATGGGACCACTAAATTTTAAAAAGGCATAGAAAAAACATTGATGAGAGAGAATCATTGATCGGCTGCCTCCTGCACGTCCCTTACTGGGGATCTGGCCTGCAACTTGGGCATGTGCCCTTGACTGGAATCGAACCACCACCTCCTGGTTCATAGGTCCACGCTCAACCACTGAGCCATGCCGGCCAGGCTAGAAACTGTATATTTAATAATGAAAAACTGAAATATTGAGAAGATGGGTAAAAAACAGCTCAGTCGCCCTAGCTGGTTTGGCTCAGTGGATAGAGCACCAGCCTGCAGACTGAAGAGTCTTGGGTTCCATTCAGCCCGGGTTGCAGGCTGGATCCGCAGTGTGGGGCGTGCAGGAAGGAGGCAGCTGATCAGTGATTCTTTCTCATCATTGATGTTTCTATCTCTTTCTCCCTCTCACCTTCCTCTCTGAAATCAATAAAAATATATTTAAAAATAAATAAATAAAATAAATAGATAAAAAAGGCATAAAGCCTAATGTAATGTGTGAATCTTATTTGGATCCTGATTAGAACCAATAACTATAAAAATGTATTTGAAACAATCAGGGAAATCTGAGTTTAGACAGGGTATTAGAGGCTACAAATAAAATTATTATTTTCAATTTTCTTATATATGATAATGGCATTGTGACTGTGTAAGAAAACATCCATGTTGCCAAAGCCGGTTTGGCTCAGCGGATAGAGCGTCGGACTGCGGACTAAAAGGTCCCAGGTTCGATTCCGGTCAAGGGCATGTACCTGGGTTGCAGGCACTTCCCCAGTGGGGAATGTGCAGGAGGCAGCTGATCGATGTTTCTCTCTCATCGATGTTTCTAACTCTCTATCTCTCTCCCTTCCTCTCTGTAAAAAATCAATAAAATATATTTAAAAAAAAAAAAAAAAGAAAACATCCATGTTTTTAGAGATACATACTGAATTAGTAGGGACAAAACAATATTCTGTCTGGGATTTTACTTAAAGACACTACAGTAAAGGAAGAAATGGAGATAGTTTAAGCAAAGGTAGAAAAATACTGACAATTTGGATAATGACTATAGAGGTGGCAGTTTCTCATACTATTCTCTCTTCTTTTTTATAAGTTCAAAAATAGAAAAAAAACACCTAAATATTAATGCAAGTAGCACCACATTAAGCATCAGTAGTAGGTATAATGCCAGGGGTGACCATGACTAATAGACTTCTCTTCCTGTAAAATATGTATTTTGTAATTAAATATTGACTTAGACTTAAAAGGACGAAAGTGATTTATAATAGAAGATTGCTCAGATGATCATGTCAAAGCTTTTAACCCCTAGAGTGCCAGGGAGCACGATTGCGCTCCTCCTGTCTTTCGCCAAAAGTGCCCGGAGCGCTATCGCTATCTCGCTCCTCCTGCAATGTCACTATTAGATGCTAGTAGTTCACTCTTTATGTGGGAAAAAAAATTTAAAAACCTTAACTCAAAATGCCTTGGCAATTTTAGCATAGTTCCTAGGATATTGGTTGGCACTCAAAGGGTTAAATTTGCTTTAGTAGCAAACCAGGACAAGTTCTGTGTAAAGGCTTTCTGAATGAAATGTAATATAAATATAAAGATTTTCTATTTTGTCTTAATATAAGTCCAAATATTACTTCAAGACACTAGTACATATAATTATACATAAAATGCACATATGCACATTAAACATACAAGCAGGCCATACAGAAATCAATTATCCAATACAGAATATGGTTTTATTCCCTTACCATCAATATTAAGCATCATTTTCCACATGGCAGGACGAACAGATTGATGGAATCCAAACCATACCTCCCTGCCCCCTCCCAGAGGGTGGTCATATCCTTCTGGAGCCGAGAAAAATGAACGCCCCACAGGTGTATATCTACAAAAATTAAAATGGCATGTTCAATCCTTTCCTTCCTATATAAGTATTTAAATATGCAGAACAGGTGAGTCTAGAGCACATAAATTATCATGCTTATCATTAAGTATATATGAAACTAAACATTTTCCAAATTTGTAAAAGCAAAAAGCAGCTATTTTAATGGAAAAAAAATCTGCATCCTTCACTGCAACCCTATATTGTAACAACTAATGTTAGTATGAATAAGAACGAATTTTATTTAAAATACTTTCTTTAAAATAAATTTTAAAAAGTTAACAGCTCCAATCTTAGAAAATGCTAAATAATTACTGATCAAAAGCTATTTCTATAAACATGTTTGTAAGACATAATATTTTTCTTTAAAAAGACACAGCCTGCCCTAGCCGGCGTGGCTCAGTGGATAGAACGTTCGCCTATGGACTGAAGAGCCCTGGGTTTGATTCTGATCAAGTGCACATGCCTAGGTTGTGGGCTCAATCCCCAGTAGGGGGCGTGCAGGGGGCAGCCTATCATAGATTCTCTCTCATTGATGTTTCTCTCTCTCTCTCTCTCTCTCTCTCTCTCTCTCTCTCTCTCTTCCTCTCTGAAATCAATAAAAATAAAAAAAACATTAAAAAAAAAAGACACAGCCTATCTGATCCTATATAAGCACAGACACACACATACACATGTGAGATGCTAGTGTGATTAAAAATACAGCAATTTCAACACAATTTGATACTATTGTATCAACAATGAAATTACCTTTAAAACAAGGTGATTTAACTATAGCCTTATATCTGAAAACACATCAGTTGCTCAAGATTTAAAGCTCTTAGGAGAAAGGGTTAGACATTTTTCTAAAAAAATATCCATTGGAATAGCTAAACTAATAAGGTGCATTTATTTTCAAATGTCAGAGAATTTTCTGTAACTTACATCTATCAATGAACTTGTATGCATGCTATTCTTTTTTAAAAATATATTTTTTTATTGATTTCAGAGAGGAAGGAAGAGGGAGAGATAGAAACATCAATGATGAGAGAAAATCATTGATCAGCTGCCTCCTGCACCCCCTTTATTGGGAATCAAGCCCACAACCCAGGCATGTGCCCTGAACCAGAATCGAACTCAGGATCCCTTGGTCCACAGGCCGACACTCTATCCACTGAGCCAAACCAGGTAGGGCTGCATGCTATTCTTCAACTGAAATATTCAAAATATACAACATCTGAAGATTAACCAAAGGAGGCCTGCACAACTCTTGGGAGGAAAGCCTTCGTACTTAAAATCTAAAGATGAAAAAAAGCCAGAAGCACCCACTTCATGGAGGGCAGATGTCGTAGCACCACATCAACGGCATGGACAGGATTAGTGCTGATTGGCTTGTCTAATTCCAGTGGCTCAGGCAAGGTCCGTCCTGTCAGTACTTCATGTAGTAGGTGCCAACTCACCCGAGAGACAAACTTGATTGACACCTTGAAAGGTCGATCTTTTCCACCTTCCCCAGGGAGAGTAACATCTAAATCTACCTGTTAGTGAGAAAAGAGTCATCTGGTAAAAGTTAAAACACACCAATCTCAATGTTAAAAAAAATAGACTAACATTTAAATGACAGTTATTTATGCCAGCATTGTCATTAAAAAATACTGAAAACTGCCTAAATGCTATTAAAGAAAAAAGATGAAGAATATCTCTTGGAATTGTTATGGAATAATTTCCAAGCTATACTGCTAAGTGAAAAAAAAAAAAAAAAAAGGCAAAGTACAGAAGATTACAAATAGTATGCCATCTTTTATGTGAGAAAAAAGGGAAAATGGAAAAATCTTTTTGTATTTGCTTATTTATGCAAAAAGAAACACAGGAAGCATAAACCAGAAACAAAGAAATTGGTTACTTTAAAAGGATGGAAAGAAACAAACTGGGAGAAGTAAGAGAGATTAAGAGTGTATTTTCCAGTATGTTCTAACTTTTGGAAACATGTTAAATAAAGTTCTATACATTAAAAATTAAAAATTAAATCAATAAGGCTGCAGGGAAAAACTAAACTAAATATAAACAAAACCAAATGAAACCAAATGCACTTCAAATGAATAATATAGCCATACCAAAAGAAGAAAAAAACAAGAACGAAAACACTAATGCAAGTAACTCTTGAATACATTATACTGACTATACCAGTGATGGCGAACCTATGACACGTGTATCAGAGGTGACACGCGAACTCATTTTGGGTGACACGCATCAACAGAGACAAAAAATTGCATAATTCAAATATTTGTCTCTCGCAACGGCCAGAGCTGGGCATCACTCGAGTAATATTACTACTCACGTTACTCATGATCAATAATGCAATTCTAAAACCAGATGTAAACATGTACATCGGTGTTGCATAGCAAAGATACATAATGAAAACATCCAAGACACATTGTTCCAATATTGAAATTAATATAAAAAGGTTAAGAATTGCACTATAAAGAGATTAATCTTTACTCATGACATTTTATTTTTACTCGAGTGACAAAATGCCCAATTCTGGAAACGGCCTCATTATTGTCAACATGTGCCTCGGGTAAGCTTCCTGGGCGTTCAGGTGCATTCGGCAAACGGACGCACTTGATCGCCATGTTCGTTAGGAGACAGGAGTGGGAGGGTTAGAAGAAAAAGACATACAGTGCAACAGTGCTCAACGAGGCATTCTGCGTGTCAGATAATTGATTACAGCACCATATATTTGTTGGTTATACATACTCTCTGTGAATTGTTTTGCACCAGGAGTCAGTGCAACAACACTGCAAAAAGTTAATAGGTAAGAAACCTATCAACCTTTTATAAAAAATGCTGTGATTTATATTTATTTATTTTTACAGCCTTGTGATGGAGAATCAAAAAAATAAAAAAGCAAGATTGAATGATAAAGGAAGTGGAAGTACCAGTAGCTGACCCTTTCAAGACATATGGACCGAGATGTACGGGACTGTCGACAGAAACAACAGATCATTGTGCATGCTGTGTAATGAAACGGTAGTAAGCAAAACGTGGAATGTAAAGAGACATCTTGAAACTAATCATTGTCAGCTCTTGAAAAAAAGTATCGAAGCAAGGAAGGAATACATTTCTAGGCAGCTACACCTCTATAAAAGTCAATCAAATTCCATCATTAAATTTGTAAGATGCTCTACAAAATTAACATCAGCAAGATACAGTATTGCTCACTCCATAGCTCAGCATGGAAAAGCCCTCAGTGACGGAGAATTTATTAAGGAAACATTTCTAAGATGTGCACCAGCTCTATTTCACGATATGAAAAATAAAGATGATATTATTAAAAGAATTCCTGAGTTACCACTCAGTAGAAATACTATCAAAGACAGAATAATAGATCTTAACAAAAACGTACATCAATTAAAAAAAGACTTAAATAGTTGTAAATATTTTTCGATTTCTCTCGATGCAACTACTGATGTCACATCAAATGCTCGGTTGGCCATTATTGCTAGATAGTCTGATGGTCTCACAATGAGAGAAGAGTTGATAAAGTTAGAATCAGTGCCAATAAGTACATTAGGAAACGAAATATGTAACGTTGTTATAAAAACATTCAGTGACCTAAACATTGATATCTCTAAAATTGTGTCAGTCACGACAGATGGGGCACCAAATATGGTGGGAAAAAATGTGGGATTCCTGAAATTGTTTATGGAAGCTATTAGACATCTACTTGTACCTTTTCATTGCATTATCCATCAGGAGGTGTTGTGTGCCAAATCAGGATTCTCAGAATTGAATGATTTAATGTCAGTTGTAACAAAAATTGTGAATTTTATAGCTTCTCGACCCTTTCACAAGCGAGAATTTTCTGCACTTTTACAGGAAGTTGATTCAACCTACAGTGGACTACTGCTGTTCAATAATGTGAGATGGCTGAGTCGAGGTAAAGTACTTGAGCAATTTGTGGAGTGCTTTGAAGAAATTACAGTATTTATTGAGAATAAGGATCTGGCAAACTTTCCTCAGATCAATGATCATAAGTGGGTCAGCAATTTGATGTTTTTTACAGATCTCTCTGTTCATATGAATGAAATGAACTTAAAATTACAAGGTTTTGGCAAAAGTATTGACATTATGTTTGGATACATCAAATCTTTTGAAAGTAAACTTAAAATTTTCAAGCGAGATATTGAAACTAAAACTTATAAGTATTTTCCTCAGATAAAAAAGCATTTTGAGAAGGCCACTACAATGAGTGTAATGGAGTCCGTACTTATGTACCAGAATATAGTAAACTCGTCATTTGAACAGTTCAGCGAAAGATTCGACCAATTTAGAAGCCTAGAACAGACCATTAAAATAATTAAGTATCTGGATGTAGTTGTTTACAGTACTTTGAATTAAAGGATTTCCAAAGGATGCAAATCGATGATTTAGAGCTGCAACTTGCAGATTTTCAAGGCAGCATTTGGACTCATGTGTTTGTCGACTTAAGGTCGAAACTTGAAAATCTGGAACGAAATCGTTTGAATAATGAAGAAGAGTGCAACTACGAACAAGAAATTTTGAGTGCTTGGAACAGGACACCCGATACTTTTAGCGACATAAAAGATATAGCGATGGCTTTGCTAACAATTTTTTCATCAACATATTTTTGTCAGACTTTGTTCTGAGCATTAAATAATATTAAAACGAACAAAAGAAACAAGCTAACAGATGAAGTTAGTGGCGCTTGCTTGGCCTTGAAGTGCACCAAGTATGAACCTGTAATCGAAGCATTAGCAGACAAACTTCAGCACCAAAAAAGTCACTAATTTCTAGTTTTCGTACCATTTGATTATCATTGTTTTTATTATTATTTTTTCCTAAATGTACATTGTTTTTCTGTTTTTGTTCATTTTATACATATTTTTTGGTTGATTTTTCTTTGTTAAATGGCATTTAAATATATAAAATAAATATCAAAAATATAAATCTTTTTTTTAACTATGGTTGCAAATATAAAAAAAAAATTATGAATATTTCTATATGTGACATGGCACCAGAGTTAAGTTAGGGTTTTTCAAAATTTTGACATGCCGAGCTCAAAAGGTTCGCCATCACTGGACTATACTCTCAGTAGGGGGTGGGGAGGAGGGGTGAGTAGGAAAGAATTGCATACAAAATGAAACCATAAACGCTTATTAGTAGGTTTGTTTTCTGTAGTGGTATGGTATGGTAATTCTGAAACTATTTTACATGTACTGTAGGACTGAACAGATAACTAAAAGTTGTGATGTTTGGGGAAGCCAGGAGTTTAAAAAAGAAGGAAGATTCAAATATGCAATGTGGCGAGTAAAGAAAGATTTCTGTGAGGATAGAGTGGAACTGGAAAAATCAGTCTGAGCTCATGAGTTCCAATATATAGACTGTATGTATAAAAGAAGTGGGACTTGCAGGACACCTAAGTTAGGTTTACTGTATGACATATAATATTGCCGTTTTATTATATATGTATACTAGAGGCCCGGTGCACAAAAATTTGTGCACTCGGGGGGAAGGGGGTGTCCCTCAGCTCGGCCTGTGCCCCCTCGCAGTCTGGGACCCCTCGGGAGATAACGACCTGCTGGCTTAGGCCTGCTCCCGGGTGGCAGAGGGCAGGCCCAATCCCTAGGTGCAGCCCCTGGTCAGGCTCAGAGGAGGGGCGATTGGGGAGTTGGGGCGCTGCCCCCTGTCATGCACAGAGCAGAGCGGATTGGGAGGTTGCAATGCCACCCTCAGTCAAGCTCAGGGTAGGGCCGATTTGGGGGTTGGGGCACCGCCCCCTGTCACACTCAAGGCAGGGTCGATGGGGAGGTTGCGGCGCCACCCCGTCACGCACAGAGCAGGGTCAATCAGGGGGTTGGGGCTCTGTACCGTGTCACGCACAGAGCAGGGCCCATCAGGGGGTTGGGGAGCTCCCCCCGTCACTCACAGAGTAGGGCCGATAGGGGAGTTGGGGCACCGCCCCCTGTCACACACAGAGCAGGGCGGATCAGGGGGTTGGGACGCCGCCCTCTATCACCCACAGAGCAGGGCCAATCAGGGGGTTGGGGCGTCGCCACTGTCACACTCAGGGCAGGGCCGATGGGGAGGTTATGGCTCTACCCTGTCACACACAGAGCAGGGCCCGTTGGGGGGGGGGGGGTTGGTTGGGATGCCGCACCCTGTCACACACAGAGCAGGGCCTATCAGAGGGTTGGGGCGCCGCACCCTCTAACACACAGAGCCGCAGGGCGATCAGGGGGTTGGGGAGCTCCCCCCTATCAGGCACAGAGCAGGGCTGATCAGGAGGTTGGGGCGCCTTCCCCTGTCACGAACAGAGCAGGGCGGATAGGGAGGTTGTGGCCCTGACCCCTGTCACACACAGAGCCGCAGGGCGATCAGGGGGTTTGGGTGCTGCCCCCTGTCACGCTGATCCCGGTGCCGGGAGGCCTCTCGGCTCCGCTGATCCTGGTGCTGGGAGGCATATTACCCTTTTACTGTATAGGGTAGAGGCCTGGTGCACGGGTGGGGGCCGGCTGGTTTGCCCTGAAGGGTGTCCTGGATCAGGGTGGGGTTCCCCCTGGGCTGCCTGGCCAGTCTGGGTGAGGGGCTGAGGGCTGTTTACAGGTTGGTGGGTGACTGAAGCTCCCAACCGCTTTTTTTTTTTTTTTTGATTCTGGGCCAGCTTTAGCTTTGAGGCTTGGCTCCAGCTCTTAGGCCTCCGCTGCTGAAAGCAGGTTTCTGGCCTTTGTTTACCTTCTGTATTTGAAACAATGTTGCGATCCTGCTGGCTGAAGCCCAACAGACTAAAGCAGGTTTCTGGGGTTTTGTTTAGCTTCTATATTTGTAACATAGTTGCTTAGAGTTGCAGCTCAGAGGCTGGCAGCGGCAAGCAGGGAACGTTGGAGTCCTCTGTCACTGAAGCAAGCAAGCCTCATGTTCGCTTCCAGCTGCCTGGCTGCCGGCCGCCATCTTGGCTGGCAGTTAATTTGCATATCTCGCTGATTAGCCAATGGGAAGGGTAGCGGTCGTACGCCAATTACCATGTTTCTCTTTTATTAGATAGGATATGTACGTATTTGAATTTCCTACTTCTGTCCACTGAAAGGGCTTAGAAGCACATATAGCAGTGAGCATACCCAGTTCCCATATTTTGATTTCTAAACTGCATTCCCCAACTAAAAGAAACCTGTACTCCTTTTGGAAATAGCAAGTTGTAGGATTTCTGCAGGGAAAAATTATAAGAGCCTGGAACATCTTGTGCCACAAAGTAAGGAAGTACTCAAATTAAAGAAAAAGTTGATCATGTCAAAAGGACATAGGAACCAATTTGAACTGTCATATAAATAGAATAAATAAATAATGGAAAAGAAAATGCTCTCCTGCCTTGGCCAGTGTGGCTCAGTTGGTTGTCCCATTCACCAAAAGGTGGTGGTTCTTGGTTAGGGCATATACCCAGGTAGTGGGTTCAATCCCTGGTTGGGGTGTGTATGGGAGGAAACTGATCGATATTTCTCTCTCTATGTCTCTCCTTTCCTCTCTCTAAAATCAATTAAGAAAAAAAAGAAAATGCTCTTCCTTGCTATAGAATGTTACCTAATAAATGTAGAAGGAAATCATCATTACTATAGAGTAAAAATCCTTCCAAGCAAGAATCATCAATTACTTAAAAAATCTAATGAGAAACAAGATCCTTTAAAGTATCATCCATATCAATATTAAAAACTTCTGTACATTAAACAAAGTGAAAAGACAACCTATGGAATATTAAGAAATATTTGGAAATCATGTATCTGATAAGAATACATATAAAGAAGAGCTAAAGCCGAAACCGGTTTGGCTCAGTGGATAGAGCGTTGGCCTGCGGACTGAGGGGTCCCGGGTTCGATTCCGGTCAAGGGCATGTACCTGGGTTGCGGGCACATCCCCAGTGGGAGATGTGCAGGAGGCAGCTGATCGATGTTTCTCTCCCATCGATGTTTCTAACTCTCTATCTCTCTCCCTTCCTCTCTGTAAAAAATCAATAAAATATATTAAAAAAAATAAAATAAAATAAAATAAAGAAGAGCTAAAGCCCGGTCAGTGTGGCTCAGTGGTTGAGTGTCAACCTATGAACTGGGAGCTTACAGTTTGATTCCTGGTCAGGGCACATCCTGGGGTTGCGGGCTTGATCCCCAGAGGGGGGCATGCAGGAGGCAGCCAATCAATGATTCTCTCTCCCTTCCTCTCTGAAACCAATAAAATATATATATATGGAAAAAATAGCTATAATTCAACAACAATCAAAAAAACCATTTAAAAAATGGGCAAAGAACTTCAGTACATATTTCTCCAAAGATACACAAATGGCCCATAAGCACATGAAAAGATGCTCAACTTCACTAATAATTAGGGATATACAAAATCAAAACCACAATCACATATGACTTCATACACATTTGGATGGCTATTATCAACACAATAGAAAATAAGTGTTGACAAGGGTGTAGATAATTTAGAACCCTTGTAAGTACTGTTGGTGGGAATGTAAAATGGTGCAGTTGCTATGGAAAACAGTATGGTGGTTTCTCAAAACATTAAAAATATAATTACCATTTATATGATCCAGCAACTCCACTTTTGGGTATATGCACAATAGAACTGAAAGCAGGGATTAGAATAGATATTTGTACCCATATTTACAGCAGCATTATTTGCAATAACCCAAAGATGTCCATCAGTAGATGGACAAACAACAAAATGTATACACACATACAAGCACACGGAAATATTATTCAGCTTTAAAAAGAAAGGAAAATCCCTATAACGTGACAACAAAGATGAATCTTGATGACATTATGATAAATGAAATAAGCCAGTAACAAAAAGACAATGTACAATTCCACTTATATGAGGTACTTGGAATAGTCAAATTCATAGAGACACAAAGTAGAATGGTGGTTGCCAGGGGTTCAGGAGAGGGGAGAATGGGGAGTTAATGTTTAATGAGCACAGAGTTTGTTTTACAAGATGAAAAAGGTTATGGAGATGGATAGTGGTGACAGTTGTTGAATGTATTTAATGCCATAGAACAGTCTTTAAAAATAGCTCAGATAATACATTTTATGCTATCTGTATTTTACTAGAATTTTTTAAAAAACTATCTCGCCCTGACTGGAGTGGCTCCGTTGTCCCATGCACCAAAAGGTCACCAGTTCAATTCCTGGTCAGGGCACAGACCTAAGTTAACTCCCATATGCACCCCGACTTGGGTTTGATCCCAAGTTGGGGTGCATATGGGAGCCAACTCATCGATGTTTTCTCTCACATTGATGTTTCTCTCTCTAAACTAAATAAAAACATTTAAAACAAAAAGTTATCTCCCAAGAGCAAAGAGAAAAAGAATAACTTGAAAACAGAAACATGGCAGATACCAACTTAACCAAGTGATCAAAGTTAACATCACCATTAACAAAACAAATACATACTATGTGCTTCTTGATAAGATACACTGATAAGGAAAAAAACACATATTAATTCCTTCCAAAAATGCTTGATCAGAATTTAATAAAGAGGAAGTATCAGACAAACTCAGACTGAGGGACAGTCTAAAAATAACTTGCCTGCAACCTTCAACCATGTTAATGTCATTAAAGAAAGAAGGCAAGGCTGAGGAATTGTTCCAAAATAAAGAAAACTAGAGAGACATGATATCTAAATATAAACATGAACCTGGACTCAATTCTGTATTAAAGGGAAAAAAATGCTAAAGGACATTATTGGAACAAATGACAAAACTGGAATATGGGTTGTTGATTAGACAAAAGTATCACATATCAATGTAGAGTTTAGTGAAGTTGATAACTGTACTATTAAAAAAAATTTTTTTAAGTCCTCACCTAAGGATATTTTTCCATTGGTTTTTAGAGAGAGTGGAAGGGAGAGACAGAGAGAGAAACACTGATGTGAGAGAGACACATCGATTGGTTGCCTTCGCACACGCCCCAACCAGGGCAAGGGGATCAAGCCTGCAACCTAGGTACGTGCCCTTGACAGCAATCAAACCTGCGACCCTTCAGTCCCCAGGCTGATGCTCTTTCTGCTGAGCTAACCGGCTAGGGCCATTATGGTTTTTAATAGTACAGTTATCACCCTAGCCATTTGGCTCAGTGGACAGAGTGGCGAACTGGGGACTTGAAGGGTCCTGGGTTCTATACCAGTCAAGGGTACATGCCCAGGTTTCAGGCTTGATCCTCAGTAAGGGGTGTGCAGGAGGCAGCCACTTGATTCTCTCTCATTATTGATGTTTCTATCTCTCTCTCCCTCTCCTTTCCTCTCTGAAATCAATAAAAATACAATAAAAAGAATGAAAGCATAATGTATGCAATCTACTCTTGGATGGTTCAGAAAAAAATAAGATATGCCCTGGTTGGTTTCGCTCAGTGGATAAAGCGTTGGCCTGTGGACTGAACAGAGTCCCAGGTTCAATTCCAGTCAAGGGCATGTACCTTGTTTGCGGGCACAGCCCCAGTAGGGGGTGTGCAGGAGGCAGCTGATCGATGTTTCTCTCTCATGGATGTTTCTAACTCTCTATCCCTCTCCCTTTCTCTCTGTAAAAATCAATAAAATAATTTTTAAAAATTTTAAAAGAGATAGATATAGCGGTATCGATAGATAGAGACAGCAAAGGACAGAAAGAAAGAGAATGCTAAATCAAATGTGGCAAATGTTAAGAACACTGGTGAGTCTTGGTTAAGGGTACATGAGTTCTTTACATGATTGTTACAATTTTTCTGTATGTTTGAAATTATTTCAAAAAAGTTAAAAAAGATAAATGATACACATACATACATAGACTGAAATAAAATAAAAAGGTAACAAATGCATTTAAAATAAGAAATTGCAAAAGTATAGCTTCCCAAAAAAGGAACACATATCTTACCCCAGTAGTTGCCACAGGAAGTGGATTGGCTGTGTAAAGGCTTCTTTTTCCATCATAAACTGGCCTACGGTCCCCAAATATAGTTACTTTAAAATGCTGAACCATTGAGTCAACCACCTCCCTACAAAAGGGAAAAAATACATTCACATAATCTTCTACATGATGAAATTTTAACAACTTAAAGTAATTTCTTAACATTATTTAAAGCTGTCAAAATTCTATCTACCCTGCCCCCCTTTATTTTTGAGAGAAGGGAAGGGAGAGAAAGAAACATCAATGTATGAGAGAAACATCGATCAGTTGCCTCCCATATGTGCCCACCAGGGATCAAACATGCAACCTATGCATGTGGCCTGACTGGGAATCAAACCGGCAACCTTTCGGTGCACAGGATGACATTCCAACCAATTGAGTCACACCCACCAGTAAAGCTGCCAACACTCTAAAAGACAATCACATGTAATAAAAGTTTTGCTTTCAGGACGAGGCTTAGATCTCAGAAAGGGATGATAGGAATTTCACACAAAAATGAAGAATGAATTCAGTGTGTTACTTAATCATTCTGGGCCACAGTTGACCTGCAAAATACTAATCCTAGAACCTGATCTAAAAATCCCTTTCACCATCTCTAAGCACCATCCAACACATTCATCTTTCTTTGTCTAAGAGTTTGATGCTCATTCCTCTGTGCTCAAATAGCACCTATAGTAAATATATCCATTAAAACACTTATTCCTTTGTATTATCCTATCTAATAAAAGAGAAACATGGTAATTAGCTGTACGTCTGCTACCCTTCCCATTGGCTAATCAGGGAGATATGCAAATTAACTGCCAGCCAAGATGGCGGCCGGCAGCCAGGCAGCTTGAAGCTAACATGAGGCTTGCTTGCTTCAGTGACGGAGGACTCCAACGTTCCCTGCCTGCCTTGACGGCCTCTGACCTTGCAGTTTGAAACATTGTTACAAATATAGAAGCTAAACAAAACCCCAGAAACCTGCTTTAAGCCAGCCAGGATCTCAGAGCTGGAGTTGATACAGTGTTTTGATTATAAAACCCAAATAAACCAGATACCTGCTTGCAGCAGCAGAGGCCTCAGAGCTGGAGCCAGAGCTAAAGCTGGCCCAGAATAAAAAAGAAAAAAGAAAAAAAGAAGCAGTTGGGAGCTTGTCACCCACCAGCCTGAAAACAGCCCTCAGCCCTTCACCCAGACTGGCCAGGCACCCCAGTGGGGAACCCCACCCTGAAGGGTGTGTGACCAGCTGCAAACAGCCATCATCCCCTCATCCAGGCTGGCCAGGCACCCCACCCTATCCAGGACACCCTTCATGGCAAACCAGCCGGCCCCCACCCATGCACCAGGCCTCTATCCTATATAGTAAAAGGGTAATATGCCTCCCAGCACCGGGATCAGCGGAGCCGAGAGGCCTCCCAGCACCAGGATCAGCGTGATGGGGCAGCGCCCAAACCCCCTGATCGCCCTGCAGCTCTGTGTGTGACAGGGGGTGGGGCCACAACCTCCCTATCCGCCCTGCTCTGTTCATGACAGGGGAAGGCGCCCCAACCCCCAGATCAGCCCTGCTCTGTGCCTGATGGGGGGGAGCTCCCCAACCCTCTGATTGCCCTGTGGCTCTGTGTGTGACAGGGTGCGGCGCCCCAACCCCCTGATCGGCCCTGCTCTGTGTGTGACAGGGTGCAGCATCCCAACCCCCCACCCCCCACGGGCCCTGCTCTGTGTGTGACAGGGTAGAGACATAACCTCCCCATCGGCCCTGCCCTGAGTGTGACAGTGGTGGCGCCCCAACCCCTTGATCAGCCCTGCTCTGTGGGTGATAGAGGGCGGCGCTTCAACCCCCCCCCGCCCCCCCCACGGGCCCTGCTCTGTGTGTGACAGGGTAGAGCCATAACATCCCCATTGACCCTGCCCTGAGTGTGACAGGGTGTGGCGCCCCATTCCCCTGATCTGCCCTGCTCTGTGTGTGACAGAGGGCGGTGCCCCAACTCCCCTATCGGACCTACTCTGTGAGTGAGGGGGGGAGCTCCCCAACCCTCCGATTGACCCTGCTCTGTGCGTGACAGGGTATGGAGCCTCAACCCCCCTGATGGGCCCTGCTCTGTGTGTGACAGGGGGGCAGCGCCCCAACCCCGATTGTCCCTGCTCTGTGCGTGACAGGGTACGGAGCCCCAACCCCCCTGATGGGCCCTGCTTTGTGCGTGAAAGAGGGCAGCGCCCCAACCCCCTGATTGGCCCTGCTCTGTGCATGACAGGGGGTGGCGCCGCAACCTCCCCATCTACCGTGCCTTGAGTGTGACAGGGGGCGGTGCCCCAACCCCCAAATCGGCCCTACCCTGAGCGTGACTGAGGGTGGCATTGCAACCTCCCAATCCGCTCTGCTCTGTGCATGACAGGGGGTGGCGCCCCAATTCTCCAATCGGCCCAGCTCTGAGCCTGACCAGGGGCTGCACCTAGGGATTGGGTCTCCCTTCTGCCACCCGGGAGCAGGCCTAAGCCAGCAGGTCGTTATCTCCCGAGGGGTCCCAGACTGCTAGAGGGCACAGGCCGGGCTGAGGAACCCCCCACCCGCCCTCGAGTGCACAAATTTTTGTGCACCGGGCCTCTAGTCCTATATCATAAAAGGATAATATGCAAATAGACTGAACAGTGGAACTACCACAACAACCAAACAACCAGTTGCTATGACGTGCGCTGACCACCAGGGGCACACATGGAACATGGTGGGCATCGGCAGCAAGCGGCTGAGCACGGAACATGGTGGGTATCAGCCACGGCAGGATGGTGGGGCAGGTGAGCAGGGGTGTCAGATCAAGGCGGGGCGCCGGTCACTGTCATTGGGGCAAGCCTCTGATAGTTACTGAACATTCTTTGCTCCCGCATGCTGCAGCCCCACCTGGTGCTTGCACTCGCTGCTGGCGCCGGAGCTGCTGCTTGCACCTACTGCTGGCACCTGGCGCCGTCAGCAGGTGTGAGCAGTGGCTGCCGGCCCCAATCACCCCTTAGGGCTTCTCCACCTCCCATTGCTCCTGAGGGGCGATTGTGGCTGGCAGCCACCTCTCACACCCACTGCCGGCGGCAGTCCCACCTGCACCCACTGGTGGCGCTGGCCCCGCTCACACCCGCAGCCAGCACCAGAGCCACCGCTTGCACCTGCAGCCAGTGCCCGGCACCAGTCCTAACTGCTCAGCACCATCAGTGGGTGTGAGCAGCGGCTGCCAGCCCCAATTGCCCCTGAGGCTTCTCCACCTCCTCTTGCTCCTGAGGAGTGATCAGGGCAGCAGCTGCTGCTTGCACCTGCTGATAGCACTGGCCCTGCTCGCTGCACCTGCTGCTGGTGCCAGCCCCAATAGCTCTGGGCTGTTCAGCGGGTGTGAGCGGGGCCAGCGCTATCAGCATGTGGGAGCAACAGCGGTGGGAGCAAGGCTGTTGGCAGACAGGAGCCTGGGGACTGTGGCGGGAGGGGCCAGGCGGGGGTGTGGAGGATGGGCCTAGACCTGCCCCTGTGCCCACTGCAGCCTCATAGCCCAAAGTTCTTTTCAAGGTGCATGAATTTGTGCACTGGTCCCCTAGTAGTTACTACATATTTCATTAATACTAGACTGAGATTCTTGATGGCAATAAACACACCTGTACCTTGTACCACTCCTATCCTTTTACATACACTCCCCATCTTTACTCAAGTATCCAGGCAATAAGGATATTTTAAAGCCTCCATTTTTACCCAGCAAACATTTTTATCCCATTTACTTATATGGAAAGAGATTCAAGACATTTTTTAAAGTACTGACTACAGAGAGAACAATACCAAATATCAAAAAGTCAATATTTATTTTTGTACACACATACTTTGTAAAAGCAGGGGAAAGATATCTAGAAGGATAGGTACCAAAATACATATAGGGGTTACCTCTGGAGAGAGAAGCAGAGAGAATGATTTTTAAACTTTGTTTATACAAATCTAAATATATTATGTTGAGACTATGCTCACATAATACTGGTATAATATATAATAGATATAAGAGAATAAAAAAATTCAATTCTAGCCCAGTCGAGTAGGTGATAGGAAAAAGAGGGGGAAAAAGCATTTTCTGGAACAAAATAATTAAGCTGACTTGCTACTCAGAGCAATTTTCTACATACTCAAAGTTTCTACTTTCCCCCCTTTTCAATTTTATTTTTATTTTGCTGAAATTATTTAACTTAACGTCATCTTTTCTAGAGTAAATTTTACAAAAAGATATGAAGCACTGCTCAGTGTTTAGGTATAAAACAAATTTCAAAGATTTCCTGCCATTTCAAGTTTATATCTGTGGCCATTATCATTAATTCCAGTTTCTCAGGAATCTAATTCATCGGGATATTTTTTCACTTTTTACTTAGCAGTAAATAGGTGTTGTTTCAAGCTAATCAAATCGTGGCAAACCACTCTAAGGATCAAAATGGCGGCATAGATTTAAAATAGCAGGGCCAAAACATCTTAGGGCTAGAAAATATTTTGCTTTGATGCCTATCACACAGTATATACCGGGCTCATCTCTTTGTCCAATTAGTTGTTGACTCCACCACTCTGCAGTATTTCTTCTTCTTTGCTTTCCTTTGTTTTTTTTTTTAATTGATTTCAGAGAGGAAGTACGAGGGAGAGAGAGACAGAAGCATCAATGATGAGAGAGAATCTTTGACCGGCTGCCTCCTGCACACTCCACACTGGAGGGTCAAGCCTGAAACCTGGGCATGTGCTCTGACCAGGAATTGAACCACGACCTCCTGGTTCATAGGTCAACACTCATCTACTAAACAACACTGTCTGGGCTTTTTGTTTTCCTTCCTCATCATATATTATACAGGTCATTTCACATTCTGGAGTACTGTGTTCAATTTGTAAAAATTTAAGATCCTAAAATATGAAACATAACCAGAAGATGATCCTGATATAAACTTATGTAATATGGGTAAAAATAAATCAAACTAAGGACTTTTAGTCTGGAAAAGAAAAGACTCAAAGGAAATTATAGAAGTTTTTGGCTATTTTGATGGACTGTCGTGAAAAACTGAGCAGAAAACCTATCTTGTATGGGCCAACAGAACTAGGACAAATAGTTGGAAAAA